ATGGCCCATCCCTTTTTTTTATGATGTCTCCTCCTCAGCCATATCTTCTGAGGGACAGACACATTTCAGCCAAGGTCAAAGGTCAAAGGTGAATGCGCAGATTTGTTTCACATATATATATATATATATATATATATATATATATATATATTCCACTGGGCGGGATGGTCTAATACATGTAATATGCTAATTCATTACAGTTTCATTAAAGAATCATTTCCGATTCAGGGCTCATCAGAGATGGAGGCAGAACTGTTCGTCCTTGAAACATGAGACATTGTGTCTTTCAAGTATTATAAATAGCACAGCATATTTAATGTGCATTTGATGATAAGAGCTCTGCTCTCAGGTTTATTAGCAAAGGATTCAGTGAGTTTGTTTTGTATTAAATGGCCAACCAGGTCACCAGCTCAATTAAAACTCCACTGTTGATGTGAGTTTGAGTTAAATTGAGTTTATAAAACTTTGAAAATGTGTTGTCTGTTCCTTTTCTGTAAAGCATAGCCAAACTGCAATTACTTGTATATATATATACTCCAATCCATGTAATTTCTTTGGAGGAATTGATAAAGTTTTCCTCATTTGGCAGTTTGATAAATTGTAGTAGGATTGTACTTGTGGGTCTGTTTTTATTATTCACCGTTAGTAAATAATTGATGCATCCTGCCAGGACATTTACTATTAATCTAGTATTAATCTAGCAAATGATTGTACGATTTCTGTTTAACTGGGCAGTTTCGTATAATGTAAAGATGTCCAGACAAGACATTGAGCAAGTGGCAAATGTTTATTTTCTCCTGGAAGTGGAACTCTAATGATGTCTAATTTCTCTAAGGTCTATTTTATTGAATGGTACATGCCATAATGAATGAAACCCACCAGAAGGTTCAACTACTGGCTGAAACTTAATGTTTCTAATTGAACCTTTTGTTTTCAAGCTTGTTGTTAAGCCTGCAATGAAAAAAGAATGATTGAGTCATTTTGGTGTGCCACTTATGCTTTTATTACAGTTTTTCTCGATTGCTTAAACACATTTCTTTAAACTATGCCTCGTATTCTCAAAACAGTAAACACAAATCCATAACATCTCACCCAATTCCCCAAACATCCTATTTTCAGGTCAAAATGAAGCTCTACACTCAAAACCATTCACTCTTGCTGAAAAACCAAACTTTTCCCTCAGACATCACACACAAGCTTTCAAAAACACACACACTACAAGTATGTATTACACACTGGTGCAATAAATTCAAAACAATATATCCAAAACTGGTAAGTTATGTTGCTTGTGGTTCTCCCCCTCAAAAACCTTTTCACATGAACACAAAAGACACAACCAATGTATACATTGGCACATTTTTATTCATTCATGTACTACACAGCACAACTGTAAAAAACTAAATTTAAAAATTATTCCGCCTCAGCATCCCGTCATTGTTCTGGGTCAGGCCAGAGAATCTCGTCCACATCATAGGCTATATTGGCCCTAGCGTCGGTTATCCGACGTGACGTCGAGAGTGACCGACTGAAAGGGAACCTTGGGTTATTGGTAAACCAGTCACGAACCAGAGCAATGTACGAGTTTTGCAGTAACAGTTCACCAAATCTGACTCATGTGTTAAAGCAGGGGAATAGTGTTTATAGTTCAGCAAAATGGGTGTGCTTTTTGAAAAATGGCGTTATGGTTTTGAAATTTTAGTTCAACAGCCTGGTTATAGTGTTTTAGCAATCGAGAAAAACTGTAAGACCACTGTCGAGCGTAATATTGACTAGTCTTTGTCTCCATTTCTCATCTAGGTGCAGCTGGAGGTCAGAGAGGATTTCTTGGATGTATCCGCTCTCTGAAGATGAACGGGGTGACCCTTGACTTAGAAGAGAGGGCAAAAGTCACTCCTGGTGTAAAACCTGGCTGTTCGGGTCACTGCACCAGTTTTGGGATGTATTGCCGTAATGGCGGCAAGTGTGTGGAGAAATACAACGGCTATTCCTGTGACTGCTCCACCACTGCTTATGATGGGCCTTTCTGTTCAAAAGGTCAGTATGCATATGCAGATTAGAAATTCATACTTTTAAAAAGTTTTCTGTGAAGTCTATACACCTTAACCAGAGATATGACACCGAAGAGTTCTCTAAACTTGTAACGGAGCGGGAATATCTGAGGGCCACTCTTTGCATGTAAGCTCCGCCTCCCTCATTTGAATATAGTAATAGCATCACTGACATGAGCAGGCGCCTTCTGTAGTTTGTGCTCTATGTCAAGACCTCCATCAAGCATCTCATGCTGTCTGTTTAAAGATGGCGACTCGCTGTGAGTCAAGGCCTCTGGTGGTTGCCCTCAGCTTTCAACATCTCCTTCTGTTTGAAATATGCATGAACAACCTCGTAATTGCATGGTTTAACTCACATTTCCATTTTACACATGTTTACTTGTGCCGTCTAGGGTATTGCAGTCAATATCGAATTCTCTCAGATTCTTTGCCTCTGGGTCAGTGCAATTGCTCCCACAGGCTGCCTTACATCTGTGGCTCAATTCTACATATCACCTTCACTCCAGGAAGAGGAATCTCTTTGCTGCTTCATTTGGATTTGGAGCTATTGATGTGATGTGTTTCTTCTCATGTCTATATGCAATTTAGTGCAATTTTTTCTAGATTTAAAGGGTTAGCTCACCCAAAAATGCTAATTTACTTACCCTCATGTCGCTCCAAACCTGTATGAGTTTCTATCTTTTGCAGAACACAAAAGAAGATATGAAGAAGAAAAATAAGAAGAAAAATTTGTTTGTTTTTTCTTTTTTGCTTGTTTGTTTTTAGGTAAGTACATGATACTCAATTGGGTCATAGTGTTTTTTGTTCATTTCGTTTCGTTTCGTTTCGTTTTGGACCCCATTGACTTTAATTGTATGGTTTAAAAAACTAACAAACAAAAAGCAATTCTTCAAAATACAATTCTTCTTTTGTGTTCCACATTAGAAAGACAGTCATACAGGTTTGGAATGGCCTGAGGGTGAGTAAATAATGAATTTTTTGAGGGTGTACTATCCCTCTACCTAAATGCAAAGCCAATAAGATATAGAGAATGACAAAATAACCCTTTTACTACCTAAAAATTTGATATTTCTAAAATATCTGGGCTCATTTAAGACTGGTCTAAGAAAAGTAACTCTGAAAAGCCTGTTCACACCAAAAGCAAAACTCACAGATAGAAAATGTTTTACAAAAAAATAGGGATGCACCAATACCGAGCTCTTGTACTCGTACTTGTACTCGTTAAAATGCCCCGATACCAAACGCCGATACCACACAGCATGTGATAAGTGCCATATTCAGACAAAGAAACACCAACAACAGACAGCAGAATGGAGTTATTAGAGATTAAGGATGTCTACGAAGTATATGTATGCAATGAATATAATGTTAAACATTCAGTATTAACGCCTGTATAGCTGATGTGCGCAAGCTGATAAGCAAAGCACGCTGAGTGGATTGTGCGCGCAGCGGCGCAGATGCACGAGCTTGTCCAGTGAATATGCCTTTCTCACAAACATCACTGGAAAGCTTGTAGTTCGGTCGGATGTGTCAAAAACAAGTAAGTAAAACAATGCACAAGTTACTTAACGAGAGAGAGAG